CCCTCTTCCAGCGCCGCGCCCGCGCCGAGCCCCGCGCAACCGGAGCCCGCACTCCCCGCGGAATGACGCGCCGCACTTCCCCCGCCGCCCCTTACCAGGTGCCGCCCCAAGCATGTGCTTGGGTGCCTGGAGCTGGCCCTGATGATCACCTACCATTTTTTCCACAGGACCTCTGCCTCATTCAGTGCACAGAATGGTGCACATTTAATGAACCACTAGTCAGTATTTTATTTTATCCTCATTATTCAGTCTGTGAGCCCCAGGCCTTTTTTACTGCACAATATTCTAATCCTGCTATGAAGACAGAATTACTGATTTTTTAATAGGCTTTTACATGGTGCTCATTACTATAGTACCTTCCCTAGAGTGCTTCATAAACATTAATGAATTTATTTTCACAATACCCCTGTGAGACGAAAGGGACTATTTTATTCCCATTTTACAGATGGGAAGAAGAGGCACAGAGAGGTTAAGGTCATAACTAACCACTAATTTTGGATGCTCAATCTGAGACAGCTAGGACCTTCTTTTTCAGAGTACTCAAGAGTTATATAGAACTTCATGTGTTGAAAGTGAAGCTTCCATTGACTTCAGTTGCAGTTGTGAGCGCTCAGCACTTCTGCAGCTCAGACCAAGGATTTCAAGGCAGGTACTCTTAAAGTGGAACACATAATTAGTGACCAGCTGTGATTTAAGTGAGCACAGAATCTCATAGGAACTCTGGCAGAGGCAGGGATAGAATTCAGTTCTTGAGGGCATCATTCAACTACCTCAACCAAGAGACTACCTTTTCTCTTCCTGTGAGCCCTGCCTCATTCACTGCACACTTTCCAAATTCTGCAACAAATGAGCCAGGGAACCTACACACAATAGACTCATTCACTACAACCCTGAGGAGGTCCATCCTGTGAATTAAATGAGGCAGGAGTTCTGCAAAATAATATGAGATTATGTAATTAAAGACTATATTGTAATGAATGCACACAAGAGGGCAGAATTAAGATTGCCCAGGCAACCTTAATTCTGGCATTTCCTAACCTAGGAGTGCTTGACTTTGCAATCTTAATAATGTTCTTTTAACATAGTTTTTGGTGCAGTTACATACAAAAATGGTCTTTGCAAGCTTTTTGGGACACAAAACTTTAGAAATCTAATTTATATAAGTAAACACCTGGAGTAGTGAAATCAGTGACATGTCTATAACTATGCTTTCCTATATATTAAATCCTGTCAAATAATATTTGTACTGTTTCTTTAACACTGTAGCAGGAAGCCAGGTCAGTCGGATGGCAGTGGAGCAAGTTTTGGGAAGAAGGTCTCCAAGTGAAACAGAAGAGCTTTAATAAGGAGCCTAATTATCCATTGTGCTGCACCTGTGTGGTTATTTACACTAATGCAAAATAAATGTAAATTGCTATCATTTCTATGTGATAGCATTTTACATTTACTTTGCAATGATGTAAATTGCATCATAAAGTTCAGGGCAATGGAGAATCAGGCCTAAAATGGTTTCCTTATTCTAATCAAGATCCTTATTCAGTATTAGAAGATAGTGACTTTCTGGTTTGTTTTTTTTAACCAGTTACAAGTAGTAGTAATCAAAATTCTAAACAATTAATTGATGTTAATCCACTCTACACTAACCAAGCATAATTTTTCAGTTACTCCACTGATTCATTGTACCTTGAAAAGGGAAAATAAGAAATGTCTCAAACATGTAATAGAACAGAAAATATTTGTGCATGTTCTGTACCTATCTTTTCTTCTTCACCATTTCTTTTTGTTCCCAAAGATACTGCAGTTTGAAAAAAATGTTTTCTCCCGTTCCGCAACCAAAAAACAAATTTCATGAACTTTTCCAAATATCTGATAAAAATATACAGGTAAGTTTTCTTTATGTAAAATTTGTTGATTGTAAGGATCTATCACAGACTGGAAAGTCTGACACAAAAAGTCGAGGTTTGCATTTCAATTTATAAACATTAAGAGAGTTTGATGTGAATTCTTCTTTGCTGTTGTTCAGTGTTGTGTGCTGTTACACAATTGTTCCAGCCCACTGGTTCTCCCATTCTAATGCTGAGTGACTATTGAGACCGGTCAATTACAGGTAATTCTGACCAGTGTCACGTGACTAGGGCCAAAACATAAAGATAATTCTTTTGCCAGCCCTGCTGTGTTGCTTCTTCATACAGTCTTAACATGCTTGAGTAAGGACTGCAGAACTCCCATTCACATTAATTGGAGTTTTGCCTGAGTAAAAACTGTAAGAACCGAAGTGTTTCACCCTTCTACAATCTATTTGGGTTAATAGAAAACTAGACAACAGAGAGATGTTCACAGACTGAGAATAACTTTATTTTTCTTTACCATGTCTGGGAGAAAAACAGAAGTTCAGTATTCAAATTACCTCCTTTACTTTTATTCAGTTTGACATGGTTAGTTGACATTTAGCTCTTGACCATCACGTCAATAGTGTTGAAATAAACATGATTGGCTTTTAGCTGGAAGATATTAATGTATTGTTTTCTCAAAACATCTTTTACATTGCAAAACAATGTAATGTTGATTTTGCCTTTGAGGTATCATAATACTGGTGTACCAATGTTGTTTTCCTCTTAATGATAACTCTCTGATAACCAAGAGGTGGGGTTATAAAGAAAAATTAAAGGGGAAAAATGAAATAATTCCATTAAATATCTTTAACCATTAAATGAATAAACTGAAGTCTCAAGTGGTAAATCTCTAGTTAATCTCCTGAATGATACTAAGGCAGATTTTTTCCCCTTCCTTCAATAGAGGGAATGGATGGATCTACCACCCACAAAATATGAAACGGAAGAAATAACTACTGTTGAAGAATTAAATAACTTCTAAAAGCAAAATGAAGCACTTGGATTCCCCAACTCAAACAACTACAAATCCTCATGGCAATTTTGTATGTTTGCACACTCGCTCTCTTTCTCTCCCCTACAAATGTTGCCTAACACTTACGTTATAAGTCCCTTTTTTCAGTTTCTTATAACTTTGTCAAATTTGAATCATTTGAACAGAAGCTTTTCCATGCTGCGTGTCTGCTTGAGGGTGAATATTCTTGGAGCGTTTAAAAAAAAAAACATTTCAGTCATTTGTTAGAACAACTTTAGGGGGAAAAAATGTTATTTTGCCCGTATTAAAAGACCTCTTACAACCTTTTCATTGACAATCTCTAGTACCTCCCTGCTTTGAAATCTGTGGAAATTCAGCAGGGGTGTTGCTGTGGTGACAGGAATGTGCTTTATTCATCCTTAAGAATATCAACCCAAATTTGGCCAAGTTATTAACCGTTGAAAAATCATGGTTCACACATGCTAAGTATAGACTTGTTAAAGAGTTTGGCAGCCAAACTTCTTTAGGTCCTCACATCAGACTATGTCTAAATCTCGGTGATTCTTTCTGCGTAACATCTCTAAGATACATCTTTTTCTATCCATCCTCACAGCTAAAATTCTAATGCAGGCCCTCATGATCTTACGACTTGATAATTATTTTTCTCTGGCATTAAGAAATGCAACCTTTACCCACTTTTATCCATTCAGAATGCTGCTGCAAAGATCATTTACTTAGATCCTATCCCATTTATACTGCTGTTCACTCTTTTAGTTGTCCAATCGCTGCTAACCTTTCTGGTGAAAACTGAAACAAAAAAGCCATTTAATACATGGGCCATTGCTGTGTTTTCTGTTATTGTCTTTCCCTCCTCATTGAATAGTGGGCCTACCATAGAATCATAGAATATTAGGGTTGGAAGAGACCTCAGGAGGTCATCTAGTCCAATCCCCTGCTCAAAGCAGGACCAACACCAACTAAATCACCTCAGCCTAGGCTTTATCAAGCCAGGCCTTAAAAACCTCTAAGGATGGAGATTCCACCATCTCAGATAACCCATTCCAGTGCTTCAACACCCTCCTAGTGAAATAGTGTTTCCTAATATCCAACCTAGACCTCCCGCACTGCTACTTTAGATCATTACTCCTTGTTCTGCCATCTGCCACCACTGAGAACAGCCTTGCTCCATCCTCTTTGGAACCCCGCTCCAGGTAATTGAAGGCTGCTATCAAATCCCCCCTCACTTTTCTCTTCTGCAGACTAAATAAGCCTAGTTCCCTCAGCCTCTGCTCATAAGTCATGTGCTCCAGCCCCCTAATCATTTTCGTTGCCCTCCGCTGGACTCTCTACAATTTGTCCACATCCCTTCTGTAGTGGGGGGACCAAAACTGAACACAATACTCCAGGTGTAGCCTCACCAGTGCCGAATAGAGGGGAAAAATCACTTCCCTCGCTCTGCTGGCAATGCTCCTACTAATACAGTCCAATGTTCCATTGGCCTTCTTGGCAACAAGGGCACACTGCTGACTCATATCCAGCTTCTCATCCACTGTAATTCCCAGGTCCTTTTCTGCAGAACTGCTGCTTAGCCAGTTGGTCCCCAGCCTGTAGTGGTGCATGGGATTCTTCCTTCCTAAGTGCAGAACTCTGCACTTGTCCTTGCTGAACCCCATCAGATTTCTTTTGGCCCAATCCAATTTGTCTAGGTCACTCCGGACTCTATCCCTACCCTCCGCCAGTTTAGTGTCTACCTCTTCCGCCAGTTTAGTGTCATCTGCAAACTTGCTGAGGGTGCAATTCATCCCATCATCCAGATCATCATTAATAAAGATGTTGAACAAAACCGGCCCCAGGACCAACCCCTGTTCTTGGTTTTTCTCTTGCTTCTAATTTATTTGTAAAATGTTTTCTTGTTATACTTTATGTCCCTAGTTAGGCCAAGAAACAAAATGAGATTAAACTTTCTAATTTTGTCCCTATATGCTTGTGTTGGGTTTTTTTAATTGTAACCCTTCTGACAGGTGGAACCAGCAGCAGCCAGGGCAGGGTTAAATATCTAGGGGTTCCTTTTCCACAATACAACACAGAACCAGCTTGAGCCTCCACCCAATAACATGGGAAAATTACACATCACCCCTGGGTGCCTGAAAGACAATACTTCTCCACTCGCAAGCACACAGTCTGAGAGTAGAAAATAAACTTTTAATGAAAGGAGAGAAGTCACTCAACAATAATTAGGCAAAATGCCACAAGCAGGATTCATAAACCTAAAACTGTGAGCAGGACACTCCCCCCCCCCCCCCCCCCCCCCCCC